TAATCATTATAAATGTGGATTTTTATTTATAAAGGTACTTTATAATAATTTTAATATAAAAAGCAAATTATAACAATAGTTATATAATATAACTTAAAATATTTATAATGATAATAAATAATATATTTATAGATAAGTAATATATATATATATATAACAATAATTATAATAATAGTAATAAAATATAATATGATGATTGAGTTTGACATTTTGATGGATGTTAAAGCAATTTCAAATCCCCATGCATTCAACACCCCTATCAAGGGGTGCCATTAGCACTCCCCTTGGGTATATGTACCAAGGTTAATTGAAACACACCTGCACTTTTCCCTCGTATGAAATTAGAGTGCCTCCCTTCACATCAGCCAATGTTTTGGGTGTGACCTGTAAAATCATGAACCGTAAAGCAACATAAACAGTGGCAAAATGATGAAAATATGGAACTGTGATATAGTTACCTCCATGCAATATTCGTTTTTGTTTTGTATAAGATGATTCAGAATTTCTATTAAATGAATTAAGACACACAGCATTGTAGATAATCCAGACTTTCACAACATGGAAGCATGAACACAGGAGGTAAAAGAGCATTAAGGATACTTAAATCAACCACAGCTCCTACGTTATCCGAGTTGGCAACAAAGACGTATTTTTTGCCCTGGAAGAAAAAGAAATCAGATAATACAATGAATTAACAGTTAAGGGACATACAAATATAAAGATGTGAAAGAAAACCTGTGACAATAGTGTGTCCAGTTTCCCACTGTTCATCAAGGACGGGAAAACATCACCATGCCCAGGGGGATACCTTCAGATAAAAGATATCTGTAAGCTCAAGAACAAAAAAGCATACAAATCACAATGTTTGGTGTGTGAACTGGTGTTTAAGCAATTGACTAATATTACCAAATGATATGCCTTTAAAAATTGAGATGCATGAGAACCACAATGCTTGGTGTACGGTGTACCAACAGTGTTATAAATAATTAATCAATATTCCGAAGATTCCCTGTTTGCAAAAGAAGAAGAAATGCAAGGACGGACTATAGCTTTTAGTACGGGTTTAACAGGGTCTCCAAAAAGCTTGGAACGGCTCTGATTAGAAAGGAAGTCAGGACGCCATAATGCTTGGTGTATGAACAATGTTCAATTAACTTACAAAGGTTCTGTATGCCCAGAAGAAGAAGAATTGTAAGAACAATGCTTGTACAAAATTTCAGGATGCAAAATGGTGTCTATTGGTGACACAAATTGTTATGGAAATAGCTCTCATGAACAATTATAACAGGATTAAACTAAGATTTCTCACTCAAAGAAAACAGACATGGAAGTGAAGTATAAAAAATATTTCCAACACACTACAAAAGCCATGAATTGAAGAATTAGCTATTTAGTTTACCATCCATCCTTCCCCGTTTCCCCTTTAGATGGCAGTGGCAGAAAATCATCAGCAACCAGTCGAGGATATTGACTCTGTAAAATTGAAGATAAGAATGCAACTTCTACAATTACAAGCACGCAGAACATATCGTTATAGTTGTCATATTTCAAAATTATGATAAAAAGTAAAATGCAAAGAAAATGCAATGAGAAGAGGTCGACAAAACCTGATTAAAAGTAAGAATCTCGATCTTTGATTTGGCATATTTTTCTACAATCTACATTTTAGATATACAAACGATGTCAATATATCATAAGAAAGAACTAACAGTACTAAAAGCAAACACTACCAACAAACACCTTCTGTGTATCATCATGTGTGTTGAATGAGTTCATTAGAAGCAGGGGTACATTGCATCCATACTTCTTATTGAGAGACTATAAAGAAAGTAGTGGATTCATCAATTTCAAGCAAAGATGACAAATATAAACCAACCAAAGTGCACAAATGGGTTGAAATACTGAATACCTCAATTTGGATGACAATTAAATCTAAAAAAGTCAAACCATTCCGAACTTCTATGACAGATCTGCATTACCAACAGATATCAGATCCTACACAATAAGAAATCCATGAAGTATTCACAAGATATTTTGTAATAGTTATAGTCACATGCATCCTTTTTTGCAAGTTCCAGGACTTCAGAATAATATCAACCAAAAAGAAAATCTATACTGATGCTTCACTACTTTTGATGACTGTACACATCTCATTCATGAACTGTACACATTTCTTATTCATGGAACTCTACACACTTCTCATACATGGAACGGTACTCATTCATGGGAAGAACATGGTCGCCCCAGGTACTTAGAACATATCTGAGTTCAAGTTTCTGTAGATAAATCACCTTTCCGAAACTGAATTTTCATCAAATTAAAGCCTGACTATATGATAGAAAAATGAAGAAGCAGATCTAGCCTTCATCAGCGGAGAGCTTTCAATACATGATTGCACATTTTTATATGATAAAGGAACACCCATCGAGACAGCAGAACTTTCATCCTTGGTACTAAATAGCATGAAGCATATCAGAAGACAAACCATAGAGTAATAATTAATTGAATCTCAGATCTTACTGACAGTAATAAATTAATAATCCTAAGCTAGACATCAAAAAAGTAATCATCCTATTTGATTATAATTATTTTGCCATCAAATCAAATGTGTTAGAAGCTAAATGCATACTTAGGACCAGTGCAGCCCATTGTCGTTCCCAAGCCACCATTAAGCTTTAGCACCACAAGTTGATCCAAGAGACTCTTTGTTTGAGCTGCATCTGCACCAGTTTACTAATTACTTGTTATCTTTTAAAACAATAGAGTTTCGAGTTATACAGAAACCATGGAATCCATGTAGAGCCAAATGAAGATCAAATTATTATCCATGTACAGCCAAATGAAGATCAAATTATTACCTTCTGGTACAGATGCTAAGGTATCATAAGGCACTACTACCTTGTCTGTTGGTGTTTGGATTTTACTCCACTCAACGTGCTGCGCTTCACCACTTTTATTTAACAATTTACATGAAATTGCAAAAGAGAATATAAGTGCCAGAAATATGAATACAAGAATCAATGTATTTTTCAATTGATTTTTGAATTTTATAGAAGTAGAAAGAGAAGTGAATCCATTCATGACAGAAGTACAAGTGTAACAACATTAATCATGTCTTCTTAAATACATTGTAATGAAAAATAACTTAGATACGCTGGAAATAGAAGACAGTCAACAGCTCAGATATTACAACAATAACTTGGAAGGCACATCACACATGGATGACATCCGTTTTCAGTTGGATATGACTTATTATTCTGGGAGCTCCACAGCTAGTTAACCATGTACATACTTTAGTCAATAGTTGTTTAGTAGCTATAAAATTGCTGTAAGCCCCCACATATTTGCTACAAGGAACAAACGAAAATCTAGAGGCCGAAATTTTTTCCCTTCCTTTTTCTAATCAAAGGCTTGAATGACCAAAACCAGCCAAAACAGTGATACTTCTTCATAAACATTCAAATTCTCCAAAACGAATAATTTCCTATTAAGCATACACGGTATTGAAGCATTAAATTGAGCTAAAAATTAATCCAATAGTCTAACGTGCATAAACTTTGTACCAACTTATCGCCCCAACGTCGAGAAACTCAAATGAGGAAACCAAATAAGAGCCCTTTATCACAATAATATGAACTAAGAAACCCATAGAGCTGGTTTAAAATGATTCGATTATCAGTTTCTTTGTTTTCATTTTCTATATCCTGTTTGACATTGTTCTGTTTTGGCTTATATTCTTAAAAACCCTAGATTTAAGCCTCAATTAGCACAGTAACAAAAATAATCTACTAGGGACAAAAAAAATATTAACGACGACAGTCACCAAGTCAATACTAGCAACCGAATAATTTCCTATTAGAACGACCATGCGGGTGGCAAAACGAATAATTTCCTATTAGGTCACTGAAAGGGAGATGCTCGCAGCCGAGCTCTCGCCCCACTCCTGCTGCCAACTTCGTGATAGAACGACCATGCGGGTGGCAGGTACCCGTCTACTGGAAAGGACAGTTTCCCATACAACATTGGGTGAATAGTTGAATCCACTGATGAGTATTCCACTTTCTTAGTTAGAGTCCCCCTTTTAGGGATAATACGATAGTTGACCATGGAATTCTTGGATTTTCTGACTCGCCCCCGGCTACGTAACCTTTGGACCCTTCGCCCGCCACCAGTGGAAGCAAGCACCTTGAAGTGAATTTCCATCTTCCTGAATACCCTGATTTAAGGCCAAGAATTTCCTGCGGCTACCGTATAGTATTCATCTCTACCCGGTGATAAATAAAGCATCCGGGCCCCTTTTGATCTCTCAGAAATTTTATAAAACCGACTTTCTAGAGACCCCCAACGACCAATCCTCGCATGAATTGCTAAGGATCCAATAAGCCCAACATTTATTCCTTCAAATGTGTCAATTGGGCAAATACGCCCATAGTGACAAGGATGAAAATCTCGTATTGGAAAAGTAGCGGTTCGGGCAGTCAATTCCCCCGGGCCCAAATAACTCAAAGCCGCCCGGTGGTGTGGTACGTAGTGGATTTAGTACGCCTCACCAAAACGGCTCCGAAACAAACAAAAACCTGTGTGCCGCACTCACGAAGGACTGCCAGTGATATACTGGAGTTGAGCTAAAAATTAATCCAATAGTCTAAGTCTAACGTGCATAAACTTTGTACCAATTTATCGTCCCAACGTCGAGAAACTCAAATGAGGAAACCAAATAAGAGCCCTTTATCACAATAATATGAACTAAGAAACCCATAGAGCTGGTGTAAACTGCTTCTATTATCAGTTTCTTTGTTTTCATTTTCTATATCCAGTTTGACATTGTTCTGTTTTGGCTTGAATTATTAAAAACCCTAGATTTAAGCCTCAATTAGCACAGTAACTAAAATAATCCACTAGTGACAAAAAAAAACTAACGACGACGGTCACCAAGTCAATACTAACAACCATGAAAATGAAATTGTAAAACTGTACCTAAGATAACGCGAAACGAGGCTGATAAATCCAGATTTCTCGTTATCACTGCAAAAAGAGTTTGAACACTCAACAATTTAACAAATTCAGATTCATCATCACAATGCATTGATGCGAAACGATAAGATTAAATCATAATAAAATAAACCTGCAATTGTCGAATTATAGAATTCCGTATACTTTACCTGATCTGAGTGAGGCCAGAGACAGCAGAACGAAGGTTATTAAGCTTTTCAGTATCAGCTGCAGCCATTGTTGAACAATAATCCGATCGATCTTGAGAATGAGTCTGATATTTGAAAACAACAATGCGCAGGTGATGAGAACTTGTATCATATAATACCAGGAGGACATGTGGCGCCCAACCGTCGCGATAGGGACATTACCTTTTCCCACCCACGAAACTAGGTCGTTTTATTAGCTTTTCAGTTACAAAGAGAATTTTGGTAATGAAAACCCGCGAAAATGCCCAAAATAGTCATTTCTTACGTCATAAGTTGGTCTGTTGGTCAGTTTTCTTTTTGATTTATCTAGCCGTTTATCAAACATTTACCCGGTAAATGCTTATCGATAAAATTTAACATCATTATTTACTCATCAGGTAAATTTTTAGTTCACAAAAATGACATCGTATACAACAATTTACCCGGTAAGCGTTTATCATGGTAAGAGTCGTCGTCCCCACTTACCGGGTAAGACTTTTGGTCTTTGTCTCGCTCTTACCCGGTAAGATTCATGGTCCTTACCATATTTATCCGGTGATATAATGTTACTTGATAAACGCTTACCCAGATAAGATTTTGGTAAATGGCCCCTAAATGTCATATTTGCAAGTTTCACGTATATCAATATTGGACCTAGCTAAAAGATAAAAAAAAAATATATTCAAATTGTAGACCTAGCGAACCTCTGGGTAAGTGTTTGGTAAACGGCAATTGCGAACCTGCGTCAAATCTGGTTAAAAAAATTTGTCTTTTAGTTGGGTCCGCAGGTGACAGACGTGAGACTTGCGATATTTGGATAAATCATGGAGAGAAATAGACAAAAGACAAATTTATATGTGAGAAATGACTATTTTGATCAATTTTCTTAAACAGGTATACATGATAGATCTAGAGGTTGTTTGTTTACTTTTTAATAGTTCCACTAAGAGGTTGTATTTGAATCAGTAAGAGATGAATATTGTTTGGTAAATAAAAGTCTGTTTCTTAATGGTTATAAAACATCTTGAATGATTTTGTATCTTAAGTCTCTCTTAACCATTTAGCGTACAAATTCACTTTGAACAATTACCAAACAATTATATTTCATTTTATAAAGTCTCTTAATCTTTTTTACTACTTGATCATTCTATTACAAACATTCATCAAGCAATCCTTAAATAAAATTATCATAAAATATTTTTTTTTAAAGAGTAAATTATACTATTTGTATGGTTAATTTAAAATCTGGACATAGTTCAAAATATGTAAACTCAACGTTAATGTGGTTTGCATTTAATCATGGCAATTTTGGTTAATAAATTGATATATAGAGAGAAGAACGAACAATTGCAAACCACCTTTATGAAAATCCTACAAACTAATCTCATTTATCCATTTTCTTGATCAATGATCAAGATTAAATAGTGTTATATTAAGAAATAAAAAAATTAATTAAAAAGGAGCAAAATCGGCAAATCACTCGTATGAATCTGTTTCATTGTATGAAAATGTATTTCATCATTGTCTGCAACCATTTCACTGAATGAAACTGTATTTCGCTGTATTTCATCATTGTATGCAACTATTTCACTGAATGAAAAACATTATTTCATCACTGTATTAATCTGTATTTCTTAACTAGATGAACTTGTATTTCTTCATTGTATGAATCTGTTTCACATTATTTATTCACATGTGTGAATCTGGTTCATTGTATGAATTTGTTTCACATTATGAAACTGTATTAATTTGTCCTCTTCATTGTATGCAACTATTTCACCGTTTTATATTTAAAAACAATTGATTTACATCTTTTATATAAACGGTTTCTATATTTACGTTTCCATATTTAAAAATAATTAAATCATTTTCAATATTATATTTAAAAACTATTGATTTACACATTTCATATAAACGGTTTCCATATTTATGTTTCCATATTTAAAAATAATTAAATCATTTCCAATATTAACCATTATACAGTAAAATAATAATTATATCCTTATTTATTAAAATTAAAAAATAAAAAACGAAAATTTCATATTGGTCAAGAGTGGTTTACATAGTTTTCACGAATCAGACGGTTTGTAATCTAACACGTCTCTCTCTCTCTCTCTCTCTCTCTCTCTCTATATATATATATATATATATATAACTCTAATAAATAAGTAACTTTTGGAACACGTGTCATGTTTTTGTGCGGCGATTATTGATTTTTCCCGCCTAAACATGTATCTAGACACAATTTTTACTTACGGTTCAAAATAGGTCTATTTAAGTGACATGTGTCCCTTCGGGAGGTTAATTTCCCGTATTCGTGGTATAACCGCCTTCGCGGAGTAATTGGCGGTTCAGAGTTCCAAAATCTGGAGTCCTCCTTTCCAGATTTAGAGACTCGTCCAACGATTTCGCCTCCAGATTTAGAAGCAGGAGACTCAGATGTCTCTGCATGTACTATGCAGAGGCTCTGCATCCGGAGTGAAGCTCTGCATAGTACATGTGCATAGTACATGCAGAGGCTCTGCATCAAGCACCTTAACCTTTTTGGCGTTTAAGCCTTGATCTTCTTTGGAATACAGCATAGGTTCTGTATATGAGACGCTTAACTCTTGAGTAAGAGTTCTGTCTCTTGATGTCTTCTGCATGAGAACTCTGAGAAAATTCAAAGTTGTAAGTTTGAATTTAACTCTGGAGTGGTCATCAAAATATTATTTAAAATTTCAAATTCGACCCAGCCAGGGGCTCTGCCCCTTGGACCCTGCCATGGGGGGCGCTGCCCCCGAACCCCCGTCATTTAGGGGCTTCGCCCCTAAATCAAAATAAACTTAAACAAGTGTGCACGCCGCACCTACCTTACCTGTTCGATATTTATTATGATTACATTGGTCAACAATTTAATCTCATTACACTTAAATGACATTAGTGATACAAATCATCAACATGCAATCATCAGATGTTGGTTATTTCTCAGACTTACAACATAACTCTGAATTGTTCTGTTCCAAACTTGGTTATATAGTTTATTCTTAGACTTAGAATACAACTCTGAACTCCTCTTCAGAGTTACGTTTCTGAGTTATAAGAAGTCTGAATTCTTGTGACTCAGAGTTGTGCTCGTGACAACTCTGAATTCCTCTAATTCAGAGTTAAGTCCGGAACTATTTTCCATCATAACAATAGAATTCTGAATTCTTGTGTTTCAGAGTTAATGTTCAAAGTTTTCTTTCAGAGTTAATGTCCAGAGTTTTTCTCGTTTAAAATATCCCGTGTAATACACGGGGTCGAACCTAGTATATATATATATATATATATATGTATATATATGTATATAGGGGCCTAATCAAATGAGAACTAATTAGTTTGTGGTAACTGTGAGAACCAATATTAACCACAAATCAATAGATAAATTAGGAAATTTATAATTTTGTCAAT